AAGCTCAGCCTCCCCTAGCTTCCTTCTGAGGTCCACCACTTCCAGATAGCACACGACGAAACGAACATGAAATCATCACGAAAATAACGATGCGAACGCGTACAGTGCAGTTTCTAAAACGGTTAAAGCCACTCCCGACACACTCACCGTTCTAAAGCGACTGACGTTACTCCCGATTCGCTCACGTACTTTCACTAGCCCCACATCTGACACTACTGTAACGGAAACACCAGTTACATCGTTCAAAGCCCCATTTATTATGACAAATTTGTAATGTCCACAAGATACAGCTTGTAGCTCGTCGAACGCTGTCTTCAGATCGTCCTCCTTCACCATCTATGGCTATATTTATTCCCATATCGACACGTCGAGACATGCTCTAGCGTTTTCTCACGAATCATCATGAGACTGGTCTAGATGGCAGTAGATACGTCTCGGTGACGCTGAACGCTCAAGAACGTCGTCCGAATCTCCTCCTCCGCGAGGCCGCAATCGCCCACGCACAGCCGTGTAACTCTGATTGTCTAAGCGTCAATGCTTATGGACACCTGTAGAATATTCTGGTCATTGTACGAGGGTGTCTCGATGGTACCGACGCTTCCAGTTATACGAGTGCCTTACAGTATGCATTTTTAATGACTGTAAGAAGAAACTACTATAAAAAGACTTACCTTTAGTGTGTGAACTTAATTCGACTACCAAAGCTGTAAAATATTACGATACTCTTATCAGTAGCGGCTGCAGTAGCTCATCGTGTGGTAGAAGATGGTAACTACTATTTCAATACGGTGACCTTGATACTGTCTAATTGTAAATATGACTGTGGACTAGCTTATGTAAAAAGCAGTAGCAAAGTCTACCTAGTCTGACTCGCAGGTCTAAGATATATCAAAGCTTCGTAGAACTAAATTTAGTTAACATACATGTATTATCTACCTTCAGTATGAAGGAGGTTTGGGCTTACCTGAGTGTCTACGATGTCGAACGATCGTCCTTCTTCACTCCAGGTTTGCGACCGCTGGCTCAACCAACGCAATATCAACGAAGTATGCTCTATCTGTTCTCAACTCAACAACCGTAATGCGCAATTTGAAACTACAATGACTCTTTACTTTAGCACTAAGAAACATTTCAGAACCTTTTCCTGTGCCTAATTCAAAAATACGTTTATATTAAAGAGTCTGTAGTACTGACCCCATTCCGAGAATACTCTTTCGATTCTGCCAGAAACATCAATTTGCACGGCAATGGATCCTGGAAATGTGATAGTTCTTTTTCACTACGTATCTGATGATACAGATTCCGGATAAAGCTTTTGATGTTCGCGCTGCTAGAACGGCAAGGACGGCGAAACGTTTGCTTTTCTGCTTTTTGCAGTGTTCTTTGGGTATTTGTAACACAACACTTTTGATCGCACGGACTGTATTCATTTCGGACTTACAAATGTTCGTAGATCGGGTTAGTCGAGGCATTCTCTAATTTATTTCTTGGATCGCTTGCGAAAATCGAAAAAGATAGTTATGACGACGGATGATTGCTCTCATATCGTGTTGTACACAGTCAAATGCTTTTGTCAAGTCAAAATAATTAGCATCTATAAATAGTTTATTTTCAAAGCCTTAAAGTTATTTATTTTTATTTATTTATTTATACGTATTTATTTGCGGTTAGTACACTGCTCGAACAGATGATTCCATTTAACGAACAGGAAATATACAAAACACAAAAGAAAGAAAGAAAAAAAATCAATAAACAACGTATCAAGTATATTACACACATTACATCTAAATAAGTTCTTAACCTACAGTCAAAAACGACCTTTTTAAAAGTGATACAGTGCAATGAAAAATGTCTACTAAATTCTTTACTTTTTCATAGTTGTTACACATTACATATAATGGCGAAACGAGTAACTACATTGGTACGAGGCACAGGTAAATAGAAATTGGTATTGTTAAACCTTATGTTTTGGTACGGTACGTGTAATGACAGCTTTTCTAAAAGAAACTGGCAGTCAACTGTGTTGTTCAAAATTTTATATAAGAAAACCACAGCGCAGTAATTTCTGCGCTTAGATAAATTTACCATATTAAATCTACTGAGCAATAAGTCATTGCGAAATCCAGCCTCAGGATAAATCCCATCTTCCTTGAACCATAAATATTTAGCAAAACGTCACTGGATCTCTTCAATGCTGTCCGAATGTACATCATATGCAGGGTACCAAATTATACTACAGTTTTCGAGCTTACATCTAACAAACGCATTGAATAACAATAAAAGAGTTTTAGCATTATTGAAGATCTTGCCACACCTAAGTATGAAACCCATCGTTTTGTGCGCACCGGTTACAATTTCAGCAATGTGTTGCACAAAAGTTAACTATGGGTCGAAAGAAACACCTAGATCCCTCACAATGGAACAACCATCCAAGACTTGACCATTTATGTGATAAGCATAACCAATTATATTCTGCTTACGTGTGAAAGACATAGTCTGGCATTTTGTAATATTCAGATACAGCCGATTCAGGCAACACCACTCATACAGACGTACTAGTGCATCCTGAAGCTTCACACAATCGACAATTGTGTCAATTCTAGAAAATAATTTCAAGTCGTCTGCGTACAATAAGTTGCAACAATTTAGTTGGCCACTGAGATCATTCACAAATATAGCGAATAATAGCGGACCCAGGACGGAGCCTTGGGGCACCCCAGATGTCGCAGAAACACTGACAGACCTAAAACCACGGTACTCAACGAAAAGTATTCTGTCCAACAGATAAGAGCTGAGGAAATTTGCGAATCCAAGTGATATACCACATCTTAAAAGCTTCTGTATTACTACTCCATGGTCAAGTCTGTCAAATGCTTTTTAGAAATCCGTATAGATAACGTCAATCTGTCCGCAAGTATCTAAAATTTCAGCAGCATGCTGACATTTCTAGCTCTGTTAACATATGACCAGAAACTATTTGGATTGTTAGAAATATTCTGTTCAGCATTGGAGGTATATCTATGAAATGCACGATCCAGCTTCAGATCTTGATACTCCTTCGAAGCTCTTTGAATGCATCAATATCATGTGGATTGCATGTTCGTTTACAACGCTTCCATAATCTCCGTTTTCTTTCAATCTTGGCAATTATTGAGCGGGAGAACCAGGGAGGATAATTAATATCTCTCGGCGTTGTTACTGGTACATGAATATCAAACAGAAAGTGCAGAATTTGGTAAAAACTGTCACAAGCAAGATCAACCTCTTTTAGTCCATAAAGGGACGAAAAATCTGCATTAAAGATATCATTGTACAAAGCAAGAATATTACATTTTTTAAAATTATAGGAAGGGATATTATTAACCTCAAATCTACAGGAAGAGGTATGAAATGAGAGAATTAGTTTCAAAGTGTAACACTTCCTTTCCGCAAAAAGTCCAGAAAAGATGGAATGCAATGAAGATTCCAACTTTTCTGCACAATCACAGAAAGGGGGTTACCATTAGCTTCCGGTAGCTCAGTCGGTGGCATGAAGACATCTACAGGCGTGTAGCTGTGTGTCGACCATGGCATGGCTAGAGGATAGAAGAACAAACAGAACATAAAAATTTAACAGATTTTATTTAACAAAAAAAAAGCATTTCCATTACATTACAATTTGACAGTTTTAAAGAACAAAATAAGTTTTACATCTTTGGCGCTGCTATAAAACTATCAAATTATATTTCGCTGGTCCATTTTGACTCGACTGAAGCGAGGATGACCAGGTGCTTGAAGTGGAGGTCCCAGTTATGAGGGGTGACCTCACATATAGTGGCTTCAAAACCAGTTGTAGGCGAAGTTGAACTTAAAGGCGATGGCGCTGCCAAGGCACATCCATGGGTGAAGTGATAGGCCAAGCAACGCAAAGTCTAAGGCAAAAGCAAAGTCAAAGACAAAGTCAAAGGGAAAGGGAAAGAGAAAGAGAAAGGGAAAGGGAAAGAGAAAGGGAAAGGGGGTGGCCCCAATCATTTTGTCCTATACGGACACACATTCTACAAAATTCTAGCACATGGTGCTATATGACCTTATGCTACAGAGAAGAAAATTCTTAGCTCTTGTTCGATCGGCGGCTCAAGTGAAAAAGAAACGCGAGGAAGATCGCAGATCAGGAACTGTGCATCAAGCGCTCCAAGCGGAAAATTTTCCAAGTAAAAAAGCTAGAGATGGGATTAATGATTTGCGATTCTGAAATGATAATCGAGAAGTGATTTAATAAATACAATCGGACGGTGAAACCGTTACAAAAGGCGGATGGTGACTGTCAATGCGCAACAAGATGTCAAGTGCTTTATTTACCTCTATATCGGTTCTACTGAATACCAAATCTAAGACACGATTATGTTCATTTCGGATATGAGAGTACTGATTCAGATTCAAAAGGTTTGCAAACTTTTGCACAGCCAAAATTTGATTGTTCTTGACAAGGTTGTTGTCCATATAGTCAACATAACTTGGTTTATTAAAATCACCTAAGAGGACTAATTCATTATCAGAATTAAAATAATCAACTGCCAGAATATCACCAAAAACTACTGACTCATAAATGTCTGCAGACAGATTTGGAGGAATATATACGAGTATGATAATAGCGGTACGCCCCAATCCCACTGACTTTGAATGAATTATGAACTGCTACTAGTACACCTCCGCCTCTGTTAACGTCCAGTGCATCATAATTCCTGTCTGACCTGTACAAGGTGAAGTTTTCTTCTACTAGTTCAGAGTCTCGTATAGAGGCATTAGCCTAAGTTTCAGATAGTGCAATGATATCATACGCACAAGAATAGGAAGCATTAAGAAGTGTAACAGTTTTAGTCCTGAGACCTCTCACATTCTGATAATACAGTTACACATAGAAGAAATGCTATGGGATACCAAGCAGCCTATTACACTACGTAAAAGATTTTATAAACTATTCTAATGATGTAGAGAAGATAGATACAGCTGTGGACGATGACGTTTTACTTGGGCAGCCATTGCAGCGGCTTTAACAACGAAACAGAAACGACTGTGGGTAAAACCGTGGATCGCCCGCCGTGAGTTGAGGAGGATCTACAAAAACTTGGTCCAAGAACTGGCAGTGGAAGATCAGAGAAGTTATGTTAACTTGTTGAGGATAGATGAGGATGTGACACATTTACTCAGGAGCGGCTCATGGTGACATTGCCACCGAAGAGAGTAACACTAGCCTGCAGCACGTCACACATCATCTGTTTTTCCCCATCTTGACACAACTATGCAAAATCTTTTATCAAATATGGGATGAGGACAGCTAAATATGATAAAAGAACTCTTATAAAAGTTTCCTTTCATAAAAGTTGGCCTATTACACTGTCCCATTTCTTTTCCAACTTCTTTCATCAAATAACTTTGTCAAACAACTTTTATAGTGTAATGTCGGAATTAGCAACAAATAACTAAACAGGTATAACAATAAATACAGTTGGCCCAGGGTATCTCTGTTGATGAAAAGAATTCGGTTAATTCGGGTTGTTATTCGGTTGTTGCCACGTATAATCTTCCGACTTGCTGTTTTTGTTGATAGTTTCCGTTTCAAATTACATATAAATGAAACGTAGATTTGCAAAGCCTGATATGAGTAAATTAAGATACATAAAGATTTATCTAATTTTTCTGAAGAATAAATCGATCGATTTTAAAAAATCAAACGTTAAAATAAAGGACTCCGGAAAACCTTCAAAACAAGCTATTATTCGATACCCCTTGCCTTTAAAATTTTTAAGGGGATGACCCTGGGGGCAGAGGATGGAGGGGGGTGAAGTGTTTCTTGGTTAAAAAGTTGTCTCCCCTGACAAATATTTTGACGTGTCTCGACGTTTTTTCTTTTAATCAGTGATTTTCGATAAATCCTTGATTGGAAGTTTTCAAATGAACAATATTTATGCACGTTTACGACTGCAGCAGACCAAAAGATGTTAAAAACACATACTTACTGGCCTCTGGAGCGTAATAAAGAATTTCGCGTATTATTTGTCTCAGCAATTTATTTTTCGTTCGCTTTATTCGTATTCAAGTCGGCATCTGGCAGTTTTAGAGAATATTTGCTGTCATAAATACGCGAAAAAACTTACAGATAAATTTTCGCTCCGCGTTCTTGTAGGGTTATATGGTGGCGATACTCATAAAGCCGAATATGAGATGTGCCGGCTTCGTGTTTGAAATCGGAGAAAAAATGTAAAACAGTTCTGTCGAACGCAGCCATAAAACCTCTGTCTCGAAGCCGATGCGGAATTGGGTTTGTTGGGCGGCACGTGAAAGAATAAGAAACTATTTTATTTGCCAGAAGGTCGGATGAAGGTACTGGAATTGGTCCAGTAGGTGTTTACCCTGGAGATTTAGTAATCAACCAATCTTAATCAATTTAATACATTTTTTCAATTTTATTTTTAACTGTCTAAGGGCCAATTTCACCAACATTAATATTTGACGGTCAGTTGAACCAATAGGAGAAGACCTTATCGAAATGCAATTTGACGGAAGGTATCAAAGCTCCCTGAATATCAGTGATTTCTATTGAAATGTTGGATAAAGCCGTTGGGAAAACGGTTGTCTTATGAATAAGGGTACATTATAGATGTAATATTATGTCTTTGTGGTTTAGAATTAGGATAACTTTCATAGAATTTCAAATTTTTATCTTTTTACAAAAGACGGTCAGTTATTTAAATGGACCAATGAAAATGAGAAAAATAATAGGTCGATTTTCTAGCTATTATATTTAGTTTTCACTGTTTTTGACGACTGTTCATGCATGACAATCTAGTTTTGTCTGTATATCACGTACAGGGTGTTGTACATAATACGTACCTGTAGAAATGTATCGATTTTTGCAAAAAAGTATATAAAACGTATCTCAACTGGTTCATCATCTTTTGTTATACTAAGTGACATATAAATCCGAACACCCAGTTTAAATGGTTTTATTTTAATAAAAGTTGGTGAATGTATTTATCTTACTGTAAATAACAAGTGAAAAAATTTTCAGCCTTATCAGTTGGACATTTCGCTTTTTATACTGCTTTTTTTTAATTCACTAACGCTCTAAAAATTAATATTTCAGCCGCAGTAAAGAATCAACGTTGGCGGATTTTGGTTCTTGACATCCTTTACGATCGGTTACGATGCCTAGAGTACGGAGACCTGTACGATTTCGTCAACTTAGTGAGTTTGATAGGGGCCGTATAGTGGGACTTCGGGAAGCTGGACTTTCTTTTCGGGCAATTGCAGTTACAGTGCAAAGAAGTGTAGACACTGTGGTTAGGTGTTGTCAGGCATGGCTTCGAGAAGGCCGTACGCAAAGAGCAAGGGGCACTGGACGCCACTGTAGAACAACAGACCGTGAAGATCGCCGCCTAAGATTATTGGCCTTAAGGGACCGTTTCTCCACTACCAGGTCCATTGCAAATGAATGGTTTGCAGAACACGGAAGACCTATTGGCATGCGAAGTGTTTTCCGACGAATGAGAAGTTTTGGCTTGTTTTCATACCGGCCACACTGGGTCCTCCCTTTAACTCGAGAACACCGACGTAATTGCCTTGAGTGGTGCAGACAACGGTCACTCTGGGATCAGGAATGGTCTTTAGTGACGAGTCTCGATTTTGTTTAGGCATGCACGATGGTCGTGCCAGGGTTAGAAGGCGACGTGGTGAAAAGAGGAATCCACAGTTTTTTGTTGAAAGACATGTTCATCACACTGTTGGAGTTATGGTTTGGGGTGCTATAGCTTATGGTTCCAGGTCACCTTTAATCTTCATCAGAGGTAACATGAACGCGCAGCGTTATATAAGTTCTAGAACCCCATCTTTTACCATATCTTGACACCCTGGCTGATCCAACTTTCCAACAAGATAATGCCCGACCACATGTTGCAAGAGTCACATTAGACTTCTTTCAACATAATGATGTCACAATGTTACCATGGCCATCAAGATCTCCCGACTTATCCCCAATTGAGCACGTGTGGGATATGATGGGTAGGAGATTGCTCAATTTGCAACGTCCTCCTCAGACTCTAGAAGCACTTCGAGAGGAGTTGGTGGTTGCCTGGAATGAGATACCACAGGAGGACATTGACCACCTGATCAGAAGCATGCCTAGGCGCGTTGGAGAATGCGTAGCACATCAGGGTGCATCCACACATTATTAAAGGTCAAAGGGCTTTAAAGCAGTGCAATCATTTTGAAATTTTTATCATTTACTTATAATGCTTCATTAAGTACTTATACAAAATTTTATTAAAATAAAACCATTAAAACTGGGTGTTCGGATTTATGTATTCAGTTACTATATAATGCTTTCCAAAAAGGAGTATAGCGAGTTTTGAAAAAGTAATATCGCGCTGATAGTTACAGGTTACAAAGATACGATAAAAACGATTTTGCCATGTGGTGGCCATTTACAAATATGTATGCTATATCTATTCTCTTATCTTCAGCGTTTTTATCTATGGAGGATTTGCAATATCACTTCCATTCTGAAATAGAAATGAAGCATTTTTCTATGAAAGGTACTGTAACTTAAATAGATGCGCAAACAGTTTTTATTTTATTATTTTAGAAACCTTGGCATATATTAGAAACTATTCAACTGTTCAAAATATATGAAAGGGTCGCACTTCTACTTGCGTCTCTACTGGTTTATTTTGGAAAAAACGCTCAGTCAAGTCAGTTTTGATTTCTAGGGGGACGTCTTTTAATGTATAGCCGTACAATACAGGGTGACCCAAAAATAAAATATTATACGTATATAAAAATTTAAAGTGTGTTTTGGATTACCCTGTATTGTACGCCTATAGATGAAAAGACGTCCTCCTAGAAATCGAAACTGACGTGTCCGAGCATTTTTCCAAAAATATACCAGGACAGTCACAAATAGGGATGCGACCTGTACGTTGGGCCAGAATATGTTTTGTTTTGGAAAAGGCAAAAGTTTGAATCGTTACATAGGTTGCTCAGTTACGTTACATAACTGTTTTATGACTTGGTGGCCGTTTTTAAATATGAGAACTAGATGATCACGATTTGGATCAAGTAGAGTGCATTCTTAGGATACTCCTAGAGGGACTCAATAGATCACCGTATTGAAACTGAGGACAGACATAGGTGCACACGTATCCATAAAGCTGCTTCTAGTGTACGACTGGAGTTCCCAAAGATGTACAGCCTGCCGAAATTACATATAATACGAGTATATTCAGTGACATTAGGAGTGTTACACACAGAAAAAATAATTTCAACTTGTTTCTTAGCAACAAAATCACTATACTTAATCGGCAATAATATTAAAGTTTTATCTTTGTTTTTGTTTACCTTTGTTTAAATGTTATCTCTCAGTTTTTACGAAGGTAGCAGTTTCTTAGAGCAGAGTAGTGTACAGATATTTTTAGTTATTGCCCTTTCATTTAGTAGCGTTAAGCGTAACCAAATGCCTCGAGTTCAACTTTGACAGGGGCAGAGTAACGCATGTGTGTCGTGTGTGGACAAAAGAAGGTAGAGGAACACGAAGAAGACCGTTTTGCTACTATGCGTCAGATTGCCGACCAATGGTTTGGAGAAGAAGGTAGACTTGATACATGCGTACATTCTATCGCCGCAGGCGTTAACGTTTTGCCATGGCCAGCCCGTTCACCGGATTTAAATCCCATCGAACATGTGTGGGAGATGATGGGGTGCTATAACTATACATCGATCATCTCAGTTTCTCGATGCCTAGACGTTTATAGGAGTGTATTTAGCTGGGGGGTCGCCCAACATATTATTATTTTTTTTCCTTATTACTTGTCAATAAAATTTCGTAAGAATTTTATCGTTTCATTCTTGATGTAAGACTACCTCATTGCCAAAAAATCAAGTTGAAGAAACAATTTTTTCTGGGTAAGATTTTTCATGTTATTACATCTAAATTGCTGATATCATACTGTATACGCAGAACCCAACTGCTTGCTGATAAAACAGTTCTTTTGCAAATAATTGTTCTCCTTTAGACAAAAGCTATTCACTAGTAAACCATTGCCGAACCGATACACCTGCGCCCCAATTTCGTCGCCATTTTTCCACATCGTCGCCGCGTAATGGACAAAACGCAAACCGCGACAAAGATACGTGCTTGACGTTGCTTCGCCAAAATAAATTGTTTCCAAAGGTGACTTGATTAATTAACAATTGCGTTGCGGGGAAATGCGTAATTATATAGCGTGATTAATGTTTGTCTGATTCACTTTTGAACTGCGGTTTCGGTTAA